TCTGTGTGCTGCAGTTGCTAACATCTATGGTAAGATCCGACACTTCCACCTGTGAAATTGTGAAGGAGGAAAAAGTTTGTGTTTTTGATGTTATACCTTGAACTTCACCATAGGTAGGTATGCACAGGAAAAGTATACGCAGGAAAGGTATGACTTTCAGGAAATGTCTTTATTGGCATCTGAGAAGGCTCTGTATCTTCAAGAAGGTCTGAGATCACAAAGAAGTTGAGAGAACACATGCAAATTGTGTGTCTCTTACTGATTTTGGCTGCTCTTTGTAAAGAAAATAAATCACAAGGTTATATGCCTACATTGCCTTGTCTTCCTGACACTGCTTAGAAGGAACCTTTAAACCTGACTGGCAGGATTAGAATGGATGTAGCACCTGATGCTTAGATTGTTTCTCCAGCTATAAAATGAAGTTGTGAAGGGTGTGATGTGAGAAGAACACAAAGTTAGTTCAAGTTTAGAGGTATCTGAAGAGTTGCTTAATTTTTTATTTTGTTTATATGACTTATACGTGGGAAAGTATTAAGCAAATACTTGAGAATTTTTGAAAACTCAATCACACCAAGTCTACTGTTCTTGTAAAACAGTAGTACAAATACCCACATTTTCAATGTATACAATTGAATTCTACAAATCTTAATACAGCATGTCAATTAAGTAGTATTTTCAGTTCAACTTTATACTCTATCCTGTCTTTAAGAATGGATAACAGAAAGTTTTTCTTCTGTATAATCATGTGCACAAAATTGGGCTTACAAAGTAGTTGGCTTATTGGGGAGATGTTTCTAAAAAGTGCTTTCTGCAGGGGAAGGTAAGATGTACCAAAACTACTTCAAGCTCCAGTACACACAAACTCTGATAAAATTGTCAGAGAGCAAATAACATTTGAACTGATCTTTGAAGTGCCAAGAGAGAGCTCCACAAATGGTAAATACTCAAGTTGTCTGTTGAGAATAGAGGAAAGGAACATGTTTAAAAATTTTTGTGTTCTGAGAATTAATGAGAGCATCTGATGATCACTGATCTAGTGAATTTCTAGCAAGTTTTTTAAACAGAAAGCATTAACTCAGGATTATTAAGAATAATTATAACAGATTCAAGAATCAGGCAAAGTTAACAATATGTAAACCATAAGTTAAGTTTTCTTGAAAAGCAGGTATAATTGGTAGTAGTAAGAAGGCAAAGATTTAAATGAGTAGAGGACATTCCCAAAAGAGTAAAAACCGCTCTCTGCTCCACCATTTTCTGTCATGTGAGAAACCTAGGTCACTGCGGCTCCCACCAAGACCCTCACCAAATGTGTTTCCTGGACTTTGGACTTCCCAGCCTCTGAAACTAGGAAACGTGGCGGCGGGAAGGGAGTGAACCTCCCTCGCCCCGTCCCGGCAGGATCCCAGAGGCCACCAGCAAGAAGAGGAACTCAGAAAGCCTGATGGTGACTCGGAATCTCTGGTGTCCTTGCTTGCGCCAGGGGTAGCTGTTTCTACCCAGGTGGATTGCTCTGAAGGATTGCTAAGACCTTGAAGGGGACTCTCATAATACATGCACTGAGGTTTGGAGTGCGCGCCATTTTGTGAAATTTACAAAATCCTCCCCAGGAAGAAGCCACCTGCAGCGGCGCCACTTGGCGCCCAGCCCTGCAGCTGCTACCCTCAGCGCCGGGCCAGGCTGAGCAGCCCTGTCACCAGGACTCGGGGTCCAGAGACAGTGGTATCTGCCGGGTAAGGGGCTGTCATCCCCCCAGCCCCAGGCGCCGCTGGAACCGCGAGCCGAAGAGAGACTGAGCAGGCTGCGGTGCAAGCAGGAGCCAGGAGTGCCAGGGGTGGCAAGAGGCAGCCGGGGCGGCTCTGGCTGCGGAGGCTCCCGCGGGAGCTCAATGCGGGAGCGCAACGCGGAAGATGAGACTCCACAGAGGGAGCGGCGCGAATGCCCTGCCATCTTCCCGGTAGTCAGTTTTGGACTTGCCTGACACTAGTGTCCAACTGACTAATCACTGAGGTAGCCATACTAAATTGGCAACCCCAACTAAATATTAGTCAGGCAATAGTGTCAAACCTGTGGACTGTGAAACCCCTGCCACAATGAATAAACATCAAAGAAAAGACACCAGAAACACAAAAAATCAAGAAAGTACACCACCCAAAGATAATAAATCTCAAGCTCTAGATCCTATAGAACAAGAAACCATTGAAATGACTGACAACGAATTTTGAGTGATAATTCTAAGGAAACTGAATGAGATACAAGAAAACTCAGCTAGACATCATGATGAAACAAGGAAAAGTATACAGGATCTGAAAGAGGAAATGTACAAGGAAATCAATAGCCTGAAAAAAAATGTAGCAGAACTTGCCGAATTGAAGAAGCTATTCAGCAAAATAAAAAACACAACGGAGAGTTTAACCAGCAGGCTTGTTGAAGTTGAAGGGAGAACTTCTGAACTTGAAGATGGGCTGTTAGAAATAACACAAGCAAACAAAAAAAAAAAAAAAAAAAAAAGAAAAAAGAATCAAAGGCATTGAAGAAAATCTGAGAGAGATATCAGACAACTTAAAGCACTCAAATATCCGAGTCATGGGTATCCCAGAAGGGAAGAAAAAAGGAGATTGCAATGAAAACATATTCAACAAAATACTGGCAGAAAACATCCCAGGTATAGGAAAAAACACAGATCTTCAGATCCAGGAAGCTCAACGATCTCCAAACATATTCAACCCAAAAAGGTCT